CCATTTAATATGTCTTTCTAAAATTTTTCAGTGATACAAGATGACAGCAACAGTAGTTGTGGAATTGTGAAATATAATGTGTTCACGATATTTTTTCTTTATTTAACTTAATCATTTAAAGTATTTTCAGATTCATGTTGCTTCTACTGTTACTTATGGACTAAGTTGATGGCGGGAAAAAGGGGTGAAGTGGGTGAGGACAATTTTACCCTTGTTTATGGAAAGAAAAAGGTATTTTTGTATTTAATTAACGGAAAAACTGACGGAATATGGACAGAAGGACGTCCAGCGCAAAGAAAGGTTGAAATGAGAGCAAAAATGCCAAAAAATGAAAGGTAGGGACGTTTTCCACAATAGACTTGAAAGGTAGGGACGTTTTGTGCCAATTACCCGAATGTTTAACGGAAAAATTGACGGAATATGGACGGAAGGACGTCCAGCGCAAAGAAAGGTTGAAATGAGGACAAAAATGTCAAAAAATGAAAGATAGAGACGTTTTCCACAATAGACTTGAAAGGTAGGGACGTTTTGTGCCAATTACCCTTATGTAATATCTACAAATAAGTTTTAAAATTCAGCAAGTTAAATTGAAAAGTGTAACAAGCTATTTAAAGATTTTGAAATTAGTTCAAAATATGTTTTGATGCATTGATGTTGCAACTTATTATTTAAATTTCTATAATAAGTTCTACTTTTTATCATGTTGCAACTGTAGTTACAACAATAAATGACAAGCTACTGATTTCAAACTTGCCAGACAACAAAAACGACCTCTTGCTCATGCAATGGACAAAAACGTTGCAACATGTTGCAAATGTTGTCAAAAAGCGAAGTCTTAACACCACACAATGAACCTTGTGAAAAAGGAGAAATATATAACCTTTTTGCAGCTATTAACGAATGTTGCAAAATGAGACATTAGCCATATACATTTAAAAAATGTTGTCAAATCTTAATTATTTTAACCATTGTCAATATACATTTATTAGAATGTTGTAATAGACCTCTTTAGCAACACCCAATTAATGAAAGTTGCATTTTGCAAAAGACCATTTTTGTTGTAGTGTGGTTACAATGCAAATTTGCAACGTGGGATAGATTGAGATATGCTAAAATAACTTGTTTAAGTACTTTTACTGATTTTCCATATCACATCTATACATCCTTTATTTCAAATCTTTACTAAATAGGCAAGATCTTATTATTGCATAGTCCCTCATCAGATAACCACCATGTTTATATCATTTCTCATAGAAAGTGCATATACATGAATATTTTCTTGAACTTTCATTTTAAAGTCATATTTCGTGTTGCAATAGTTGAAGACCATGTGTCTATTTTTGAGAAGTTGATTCACTTATCTATGTTATGTTGAAAATGTTAAAATTTATCATACTTGAATTCGTAGATTTATGTGGAACTCTTTGAAGTTAAAACTTTGTTCAGAGGTTGAAAATATAATTTATTGTTACAACTCAACATCAAAATTATATTTACTTTTAAAAGTAAGTTTTTGCTATAAGTTTTAATTTCTGGGTGTCATTGGCAATCCAGAGATCCTCTGAATCCTATTAAATATCTAAATATCAA